TTGACATGACATGAATACACTGATGTGTATAAAATTGATGACTAGTAAGAACCTGCTGTATAAAAAAATAAATAAAATTCAAACAAAAACAGAAAAAAAATTTTTTTCATCTTTAATGTCCCTGACCAGGAAGAAAATACTGACAGAAATCTTGTATTCGATTTCGAACTCTTAGCTCTTGAGAGAACAAATGCCTTATTATTTATTTATAGTAACAGGTCTAAGTTCAATTCAACACTCTTTAGAAGGCAGAAGGGATCCTGTCTGTCTAATTTGCCTTTTATTTTAGGCAGGTGTTTAATGCTATTTAGTAAGTGAAAGTCTACTCGTTCGATGAGTTTAAATTGCCAGTTGGCTGTCATGGCATGTATATATCCCTGATCCCTCTTATTATATCTCCACTACTATTACTTTAAAATTTTACATGTAAATACATTTTATAGAAATCTTCTTTTGGCTTACTGAAACATGAGTCACAGTGGGCTGCAATTTTGTCAGTTTTATTTTTGCATAGGAAAAACATCATAATGACTAATGAGAAGATTAAAATGGTCTCTGTGAATCATCATCTCTTGCCAGTGGTTATTCAGATTCAGAAGTGGAGTATGGGATACTCTCTCCTTAATAATTTGTCTAAAGCAATGGTTCTCAATCAGGGGCAGTTTTGCCCCTGAGGGGATATTTCTGGTCGTCACACCTGACAAGGGATGGGGGGGGTATGTTATTGGCATCTAGTGGGTAGGGGCCAGGGTGCTGCTAAAGATCCTACAACGTACAGGACAGACCGCCCCCCGCCCAACATGGAATTATCTGGCCCAAAATGTTACTACTGCTAAGGCTGAGAAACCCCGTTCTAAAGGTTCATTAACAATGACTGTGCGACTAGGCATAATTTCTCATAGTATAATAATTTAGAATTATGCAAGATAAATAACTGAGACCATCTACAATGAGGGCATGGTCCTTAGACTCTTAAAAAAAAAAAAAAAAAAAAAAAAAAAAAAAAAGGTGCATGGTAAGAAATGATAGTAGTGAGACCTTACTGAAATAGTATAAACTGCAAGAAGATTGTGAGCTAAATAAGAAAAACACTGGGAAATCTGTTGTGATACTGAACAAAACGATTTTTCGCATTTCTGAACAGTAAGGTTTTTTTTTTTAATCCAGTTACATCTCGACCACTAAAAAAAAAAAAAACCGTTTTCATATTTAGTCCATTTTTACATGGTCCATAGCACAGCATGCTACTTATTACTGTAGAAGAATTATATTCTGACATTACCTTTACCCAAAAGGCTGGTTCAATATTCATTTAGCCATAATTCTCTTGACATTTTTCTTGCATGAATTTTTTTTTTTTTTAACAAAAGTCAAGACACCTGGATAATAAGTAAACCTTGAAATGTCAAAAGCAAAGCCAGTAGCTTGATGATAGGAAGTGATGCTAGGAAGCTCTATTAGGAAAAATCTTAAATGTAAGACCTAAAACAATAAAACTCTTAGAAGAAAACAGGACAAATGCTTTATGACATTGGATTTGGCAATGATTTCTTGGATATGACACAAAAAGCACAGGTAATGAAAGAAAAAGCAGATTGGACTTCATGAAAATTAAAAAATTTTGTGCATCAAAAGACACTATTGACAGTAAAAAGGCAACCCACAGAATGGGAGAAAATATTTGAAAATCATATATCTGATAAAGGATTAATATCTAGAATACATAGCGACCTCCTAAAACTTAATAAAAAGCGCAATTCAAAAATGGACAAAGATCTTGAATAGACATTTCTCCAAAGAAGATACACAAATGGTCAATAAGCATGTGAAAAAATGCTCAAAATCACTAATCATTAGAGAAATGAAATCAAAACTACAATGAGATACTGACTCACAACCAATAGGTTTGCTATTATCAAAAAAACAAAACAGGGCTTCCCTGGTGGCGCAGTGGTTGAGAGTCCACCTGCCGATGCAGGGGACACGGGTTCGTGCCCCAGTCCGGGAAGATCCCACATGCTGCAGAGCGGCTGGGCCCGTGAGCCATGGCCGCTGAGCCTGCGCGTTCGGAGCCTGTGCTCCACAACGGGAGAGGCCACAACAGTGGGAGGCCCGTGTACCGAAAAAAAAAACAAGTATGATGAGGATGTGGAGAAACTGGGGAGAATCCACCCTTGTACATTGTTGGTGGCAATATAAAATGGTATCGCCGTGGTGGAAAACAGTATGGCAGTTCCTCAAAAAATTAAAAATAGAATTGCTATATGATCAAGCAATTCCACTTCTGGGTATATCCCCAAAGGAACTGAAAGCAAGGTATCGGAGAGAGTACACCCATGTTCATAGCAGCATTATCCATAACAGCTAAAACATGGGAGCAACAGATAAATGGATAAGCAAAATGTATATACTTAAAATTGACTATTATTCAGCCTTAAAAAGTAAGGAAATTCTGCAATATGCTACAACATGGATGAACCTTAAAGACATTCTGTGAAGTGAAATAAGCCAGTCACAAAAAGACAAATACTATATGATTCCACTTATATGAGGTACTCAGAGTAGTAAAAGTCATAAAGACAAAGTGTAACGATGGTTGCTGGTGGGAGGGGAGAATGGGGAATTATTGTTTAACTGGTCTATAGTGTTACAAGATGAAGAGTTATGGGGATGGATGGTGGGACAGTTACAACAACAATGTGAATATATATATATATATATATATATATATATATATATATATATATATATATATATATATATATATATATATA